TTTAATTTGTTTGATTATCCAGCTGTTCAAGTCTTCTCGAGTTGGGCAATTCATGCATCAACATTCCCATCAGGTAGGTGTAGTTGTTCTGGAATTAAAAATATGCTGCCTTCCAGCCAGATGCCATTTTCTTTATTATTTATTTGTGCTAGTAAGTAAATTGAAAATTGTGCTTTTTTAAGGGAAAGGAGCTGATGCACCCTTGTGCCATTAAGTTGTCAGAGCTGAGGAGATGAAGTGCGAAGCATTTCTGCAAAATTGTTCTCACAAGTCTCATTTGGGAAAAAAGTTCAGCCTCTAAGAGAAAGGGATGAAATCTGTAATGGAGCAGTTCAGGTTGCTTGGTATATACAGACTGATTGAAAGTAATCAATCTTTTCCTTATTTTTTACACTTTAACCAGCTCTCCTTTGCTGAAAGAGTGCAGGTTTGGATTAGACATTAGGAAAAAATCCTTGACTGTGAGGATGGTGAGGCCCTGGCACAGGTTGTCTGGAGAGGCTGAGGATCCCCCATCCCTGGCAGTGCCACATTTTCACCTGGGGGTTGTGGTGGAGAGTTATTAAAAGGAAAGGTGATGGATGAACCTTCATCAGTAGCAAGATGGAGTTCTGGAATGAAGCTGTAAGTGCTGGATTTGAAATCCAGGCAACATCTGCAGGGACGAGTGATAATGTGCCATGGAAAAACAGAATTGCTTTAACTGATGATTATAAAAGAGGATATGATTAAAACAAGCTGATTAGATGAAACCAAAGTGACAAGACAAAGCAGCAGGCCATCCGAGAGGGGAGGGGGAGGCACAACTGATGGCAGTAGGGCATGAATTATTGATTGAAATCTCCACCAGAAGTCTTTGCATTTTCTTATCTGGGAAGGGAGAGAATGAATGAGAAGCGAACAGAATTATTAAGCAGCTTTATCATTGCATTGGAGTGGATAATTAAGCAATTAGGATTACTAAAAGTTGGCAAAGCAAGAGGCCCTGAGGACTTGTGCTCCTGATTTCAGAAGAGGGTGGAGAGGGAAAAGCCTTTGGTGAGAGATGAGGTGGAGCCTTGTGGTGAGGCTGAAAGGCAGAGCCAGGCTCTGGCACCCAGTCCCCTGCAGCTGCCAGGACAGAGGGGGCACAAGAGACCTGGATAATGAAAAGGAACTCATCTGAAGATGGACAATACTTGGAACAGCAGCAGGGAGGGAGAGCAGGAGCCAAGGCCTCAGTATAAAAAGGGTCTGGACCCAAGTGAGTCCAGAGGAGACCACAAAGATGCTCTGAGGGCTGGAGACAGGCTGGAAGAGATGGGAGCATTCAGCCTGGAGAAGAGAAGGCTCTGGGGAGACCTCAGAGCACCTTCTGATTTGGGGCATCCGGCGCCATATTCCCACTGCTGTCCCCTCCTGAGCCTCCCACCTGCATCTGCCAAAACCTGAACTTCCCAAAGGGTTTTGCTCACAGGGAATTGTGACTGTCCCTTCGGGCCAGGTCCCTCCAGAAAGGGTCACAGGCTGTTGCTTAGCTCTGCAAATGAGCCTCACTTCTTTAGCTGGCATCAGAGCATCTGAATAGCTGCACATTTTGAAGGGGAAAGCTGGGTAAAACTGACTAAAAATAGCACATTGCATCTGTAACTGTCTGAATTCATCCTGGGCTGCTCTGAGGCCAATGCCAAAGGACTGTGCTCCTCCTCTGTGCTCCTGACTGGCTTAACCCTAAGCTATATGTTATTTAAAATTAATTTGCAGAGATGCAGACATTATATAAATCACTGAGGGAATGTCAGATTATGTATGTAATTTGCAGAAGTGCTCCACACTCATCTTACTTAGCTCCCCATGAAACCAAGGGATCAAAACTAAGCTGAGGCAGAGAGTTTGGACCAGTCACCATCCTGAAAGTGCCGTGGAAGATGAGCCAGCACTGCAGACACTTGTTACTAATTCACACCCAGAGATTCTTGCAATTTCTTCAGGACATTCAGCAATCAGAGAAAGGAGGAATAAAGGGGATGATGAAAAATACATGGGCTAGAGTATTTCTTACTAATTATTTGCTTGGCCTCATTGGCAAGTCACCTGATGTTCTTGGAGAGTACTGCATTTTCATGGGAAGGTGCCAGCCATAATGTTCCTCTCCCAAGGCCAAGCCAGAATATTAATTATGGATTCTGTTGCATAATTAGAGTCTGAAGCCCACAGTTAATTGGTGGTAGCTGCTTAGTATAGCTATCAATTCTACCTTGAAATGATGCTCTGTCTCCTGCCCCCACACACACTGTCCTCAGATGGGTAAATCATTGGAGCAGCTTGGTTTTGGTGACACGGTGGCTTGCGATTACCTCCCAGGTGTTAGAACAGTGTTGTGCATTGGTGAGACGTGAGAAGTGCTTGTAATTCATGGTAATCCAGTGCTCCTTGACTTGTCCTGACCCCAGCCTGACAGGTCTGGGACCTTGGCTGTGACAGCTCCATGCTCTCTGTTCCTTCCTGGTGCAGCCCTGCCAGGACCTTGAAGGGTTTCTGACCTCCTGCTGCCTGAATCTCATTAATGTGGGGCCACTGTCTTCCTCTAGCAGAGATCAGAGGCTGTGGCTGCATTAGAGCATCCCCTGGAGAGGCACCTAGTCAGGGAGAAATCACCTTGGCTTGTTTTTCCCATGGCCTGGGTTGATTCCCAGAGGCACCTGACGTGTTCTGCACGCCTGAAAACAAGGCTGTGTTTGATGGCAAACAAATGTGTAATAGCAAATAAAGATTTGTACTCCTGAGCTGGTGGGCCCCAGCAGGCGTGCTGCTGCTGTTCTGTGGAGCAGAGGGGAGCAAAGCCAGAATCTGTGTTCATTAAAAATAGGTGATAGGATATTCTTAGCTCAGCCCCTGCCTCTGCCTCGGCAGAAATACTCCGGAGTTAATTGCTGCCGTTGTTCAGCTGCAGGAAAGTGGGTCGGCTATTGATGAGATCACTGATCCCATATAATTGTTGGGAAAGATGTAAAAATAGGCTTTGTGCTCAGCTGGAGCTTGGGGCAGCCAAGCACAGTGTGCACACGCTGCAGGTGTCCCCCAGCCCTGGGTCTGCAGCTCTGTGGCTGAGCCACCGTCACCTCCTCCTGGCACTATCACACCTGCAAACCCAGCCCAGGGCAATTCCAGGGCCAATTCCTCTCTGGGATTCCGCTGGGAGCAACATCCAGGCCATGCAGGCTTGGGCTGGCAGAGGAGGATTGTGGTGGCACCTTTATAAAATGAGTTTCTCATAGCTTAGCCTATGCAAGCCAGGACTAATGGTGGAAAGAGCTGATAAAACAAGACCTCTTGTCCTCTTCTAGTGCTCTGTGTGTCCCTCTCCTGGATAATTCATCTTTTTTCTTAGCTCTCCATCAGAGATAAGTGCACCTGTGCCTCTTCCACACGTGTTCACCTTCAGCCAATTTGGGATCCTTCTGTTTGGAAGGTGTTGTGTTGCTAACACTTCAAAGGGAGCATTCAAATCTCTTTGAACTTGTGTTCTATCTGAGACATAAAATAGCAATTTGCTATTTTATTTATTTATATTTATTGTTTTGATGCATAAAATAGCCATTTGATATTTTATTTATTTATATTTATTGTTCTATCTGAGACATAAAATAGCCATTTGATATTTTATTTATTTATATTTATTGTTCTGAGACATAAAATAGCCATTTGATATTTTATTTATTTATATTTATTGTTCTATCTGAGACATAAAATAGCCATTTGATATTTTATTTATTTATATTTATTGTTCTGAGACATAAAATAGCCATTTGATATTTTATTTATTTATATTTATTGTTCTATCTGAGACATAAAATAGCCATTTGATATTTTATTTATTTATATTTATTGTTCTATCTGAGACATAAAATAGCCATTTGCTGCTGGCCTTCCTGTTTCCCCTCCCCAAGGCTCCTTTCAGAAGGGTGCTCTGAGTGCTGCAGGTGCATGTGCAGGCACTGATATTGCTAATTCAAGCTTTGAAGGGACATTTTATAAGAAAGCAGGCTTGGAAATCAGGTCTAAATCCATAAACTGTGTGTTACATTTGGGATTTAATGCGCCCTGGAAGAAATATCTCTCAGAAGGACATTGCTGCATCCAAGAGTCCCCTGTGCCTTTAGCACTGTCCTCCTGGAGAGATGGGAATCCTTGAAAAAACACAGTTGCTGAGCCCTAAAAAAACCCCCAACATTTAATTGTTTATTGCTTCTTACTTCTGAGCAGGAATTTGTTAAAAATCCTGGTGGATCCCTGTGGGCATTCTGCCCTCGACACCCCGGTGCCCTGTGGTGTCAGTGACTCCTGCACCCACTGCTGAGCCCCTGCAGCTCTTTGAGATCAGTGAATATTTCATCCCAAAGCACATTACAGAATTTTAATTCTCAGCTGTCACATTTCACGGGACTTATTTAACTGTTAGGAGAAGAAAGTCGCACTGCTGGCGGTATAAATTTGCTTGGTTTAGTGATTTAGCACCTCCAGTGCTATCCCAGCCCTCTGGAGGCTTCCCAGAGCAGGCAGTGGCTTTTCCAGAAAAGCAGGGGAATAAAAGGCAGTGAATAATAGATTTTTAGCCATCATTACAAGCTACACAAAGTACAGGGAAGAATATCCACACAGAGGAGGGGATAACTGCACTGTGAGGTTTTCTCCTGGTCACACACCCCAGTGTGTGTATGAGAAGTGATGGTCAAAAACCCAAAACATGAAATACTGGTTTTTATCTTCCTTTTTCAATCACTCTGAAGATGTGAATTGCTCAGGCAAAGGTGAGCTACTTGCCTGCCAACTCACTCCAAGAGTTTCTTGCATTGATTTGCTGCATTTGCTTTTTCTCATGAATGAGAAAAGAGGAAATCTGAGGTTCAGCCTTACCAGCTTGTCAATTTAATTGCTGTCTATTTTAATGTTACCACTATTGTTTGTTACTAATTAATAGAAGTAACATGTTACAGCTTTTATTTTTCCTTATTTTTCAGTGAGAAGCTGGATGGAGAAGCTGAAAGATAAGGTAGGAGGCTGAGAGTTTCAGTTCCTTTCAAAGCAAAGCCACTTTTACTTGCAGGAATAAATAAGTTCTTGTCAGTGCACTTCTTTATCTCTCCACAGATGGTTGAGAAAGGGCTTAAAATTTTCTCTGGGAGGCAAATGAACCAGATGCTGCTGGTATAGAGTGGTGTGAATCCACAATAAATCCCTGATGGGTTGTAACTAAGGGCAGGAGGGACAGAAGTGTTTGATTGATTTCTCTGCACCAGAAAATGACCTTGTCAGATAACTTGAGTTACTTTCTTTTACTTCCCCTTAGTTTACCATAGAATAGTTTTGGTTGGAAAGGACTTTTGGAAGTCCATCTAGTCCAACCCCTCTGCACTGAGCAGGGATATCTTCCACCAGATCAGGATCAGGTTGCTTAGGACCCTGTCCAACCTGACCTGGAATGTTTCCAGGGTAAAGAATTTCATTCCACCCCTTTTCCCTAAGTGCTAAGCTCAGTTCTGGATCCAAATCAGGAGGGTCTGGTGCTGCTCTCTGGTGAGAGGCTGCATGCCATGCCAGTGCCTCTGGATCAGGCCTTTCCTACCTCCATGTGCTGCAAATCTCTGGAAGGACAATGATCAAACACAGTAAAACTGGCAAGGTAACAGACCCTGATCGTTCCTCCCTGCCATCACAGGGGGCTGGTCCATGGAATCAAGAGCTGTGCCAGCCACAGGCAGTGATGGCTTTTTAAGCTCTGCTGCCCAGGAGCAAATATTGACATTTCAAAATGGTTGTGAAGCCTTCCAAGTGTTGTGCTGCTGACAGCAGAGCCATGAAGCTGGAAATGAGGTGACAGCAAGAACATTTCATGACTCAACAGGCCTTGGGAATTCTTGAACAGGATCAGAGCCAGTAGAAACAAAAACCATCCCCAGGAGGGAGAGTGATCTCTGAAAACACAACTCCGAGCTTGGGCAAACTCACCCAACCAGCCCAGCCTTCCCACATGGTCCACACCAAATTTCAGCAGCACTTTCACCATCAAGTCAGAGCAGAGAAACAGGGTCTGGGTGTCTGTTTCCTAATGCTGGGGAGTGGGAGGGTTTAAGGCAGGTTCTGCCCAGCCCTTGTTGAGTTGCCTTTCTGCCTGCACTAGGAGGGAGGCAAGTCTAGAGCGAGCTCTGCTCACAGCAGAGCTCCTTGGCCTGGGATTCATCCAGAGCAAAGGCTGAAAGGACAGAGAATGGTTTTCCCAGTGAAGGTAAAGAGCAGCCAGAGGCTGGCTGTGTGCCTGCAGAGATTGCAGCATGCACAGGTCACCTGCTCATGCCAACACGTGGCACAGCATGAGCTTGGGGACATCGGTGTCTTCTCACTGAAGCTGTAGCTCTCACATCTTTCCTCTTGTCACCTTGTTGGCCACCTCTGCCCTTCCCTGTGGCAGAGGGGCTGCATGTTCCTGTCTCCAGCAGAGCTCTGGAGAGTCTGAACTCGTGCAGGCAGACCCTGGTGTGGCAGTGCCCAGCACAAGCACTGGTGTATCTGAGGGTCCACTGGTGTCCACTTCAGGGAGAGACTCCTGAGCCACCTCCCTCCCTTGGGGAACAGCAAAGCTTTCACCTGGCTCACATTTTTCCTTAGAAAAGCCCAACAAAAACCACTCCCACTCCCAACCAGTTGCTGGTGTAGTGAATCACTTGCAAATGAGCCTGTTCACCCCATTCCCTCCTCTTCCTAGTCGAGTTTATCAGCATCATTCTTGTTTGCCCCTCTCATTTGCCTCTGTCCTCTGTTTTATCAGCCCTCCATCCAGAAGAGGATTCCAGCCCATAACTGAGAGATATGTTCTTCCCTGTCCCTCAGGTGTGGGGGCTGTGGGACCAGGACTGTGGGTCAGGGACAAATTCATGTCTGGTATCCTGCAGTCTGTGTAAATGCTGCATTTGGTGTGGCAAATAATGGACATGAAGTTCCTCTGAAGTTCTCATGGTGTTACCTCAAAGCCCAGCAGGGCCAGGAAGGTCACAAGCATGGATTGGGTGTATTTAAAGCATCCCTAAAGAAGCTAAAACTTCCCCATAAAGGGGTAAAAATGTGGCTTTGGCCTGTGAAATGGGGTTTTCTATCAAGAAAGTGCAGAAGCTTTCAGAAATTGGGCTGCAAGACACAGAAGGGCTGGGTTTGCATCACATCACAGGGTTTTGGGGTATAAAACATTGATCTGGGGGCTGGGGGGAACCTGTCAAAGGCCATGGGCTGGTCAGGTGTGATAAAGGTTCACAGACAGGCTGAGGAGCTCATTGTGATTTCTGACATGGAAACTCAACTGGGCAGCAGCTAAAAGCCATTTGCAGCCTCCCCTCACTGCCCATGCCAGCAGCAAAGTTCCAGAAATAGAAAACGTCACGCTGCACTAATTAGGTCACCCAATTAAGGTATCTTAATTGCCTCATGGAGACACAGCCTTCAGCTGTGTCCTCACTAACCTCCTTTTTCGAGAGCTGGGCTCAGGGATGCAGCCCCTTCCCAGCACCTGAGCTGAACAGGGGTTGGTTTTCTGAGGGTGTTCAGGGAATGGGAATGCATGGGAATGCAGTTTAAGATCCCTCAAGCTTTGGGATCCAGACAAGAGGCTGTTACTATGCAAAAAGCACTGAGTAGGATCTTGGGGGAGCAGACCAGCCTTCCTTGGCATTGTGCCTGCCCCAGATGAAAGCAGATATTTTCATTCTCCAGGTAAGTGTACAAAGGCAGGGTACTGCACCTGAATATCTTTTTTATTTCCTCCCAGTCAGTGGGATATGGAAGAGAGGTTATAGTGGTGTGTGTGCTGTGTTGTATTTTAAAGGCACAGATGAAGACAAGTGGTTGTAAGCAAAGGGCTGAGGCTTGCTAGGAGCTGTCTGATGGTCCAGCACTGGTGCCTGTGTCCCTTGGCAGGTGTAAAATCTCTTCTGGGGGGTGTAGCAGGCAAAGGGTGAAGCTGTAGTGGCACAGCAGAGGATTCTGGTGCAGTGTGAGGAGAGGCAGAGCTGCAGAGGTGGGAGCAGGCTGTACCTGCCTCCCTTGCAGCACTGAGCCCACCAGCCCAAAGTAGGTGAGGATTCTGAAGCAATCTGGCATTTTAAAGCTTATGCTCAGTTCAAGCAGTAAAATATAAAATAACAGGCACTTGGGAATATTTTCCTAAGGATTTAAAGTGTTTAGATGTGTAGTTTTAGATTAGTCATGCTGTCTATATTTTTTTAATGGGCAGTGCAAACACAGAGATCCCAGCGATTGAAATAGGCCTGGTTAATTTTTTTGTGCTCCCCTTAAGGCCAGCTGAAGGTGTGTGCCCTCCCTCTGTGTCATCATCCTGCTGCCATGCAGGGGACCCCTTCCCATGCAAAGCCAAAGTGTTTGGCTCAAAGATTTGGAGCACAAAGCCAAGGAGGCCTTGGAGTGGCTCGAGATCACCTTCCTTTGGCAGCCAGGCTTTTCCTTCACACCTGCATCCCTATTGAGACATTTCACCCCAGCACTCACCCGAATTGTTCCCTCTCCTAAAGGCAGGCAAGCGCTTCAGGGTCTCAGCTGTGAGTTTCTGTCAGGAAAAGCTGAGTTGTGGTGGTGACCAGCTGGCTCCTGGAGTGAAGCTTAGTCCTTGGAAGCAGGAATCATCCCTGGCAGGTGATGGGGACTCAAATCCAATAAACTTTGAGGAAATCACCGTAGGGATATATTGCAGCCCTTGGCTGGTGGAAATGACTGAAAGGATGGCTTTGGGAGTGTTGCTCTGCTCCTCTCTTTTCCATTTAGGCAGGATACATGTCGGGGATGCTGGTTCCTGTGGGAGTTGGAATAGCCGGAGCCCTGTTCATCCTGGGAGCGCTCTACAGCATTAAGATTATGAATCGCCGGAGGAGAAACGGCTCAAAGAGACATAAAAGGAAGGTATGGAAACTGCCAGGGAAAGGTATGGAAATTGTGAACCCTTCTGGCTGTAAAGCTAACGCAGCCTGGGCAGGGTCTGTCTGAGCTGGAGTGTCCAGGGCGCCTCCGCTACAGGATGGGGGCATCCGAATTCTCTTCATTCTGTTCCTTCTCGCACGTGGACCTCTCTGATGTTTGTTTTCCTCCCCCAGCAGAGGGAATTTAACAGCATGCAGGACCGAGTCATGCTCTTGGCCGACAGCTCCGAAGACGAATTTTGAGTGGAACTGCAGTGTCCTTGGGAGAGACGGTGACTTTTCAGAGGAGGGAGAGAGGGGGAGACGAAGAACGAGCGATTTTTCTGCTGCAGCGCTGCTCCCTCAGCTGCCCCGGGCAGGGGTGGTGTCCCCAGCCGAATGACAATGACAATGCTATGCTCTACGTGTGCCACCCGTGATGTTTGTTTTGATACAGTAGTGGAGATCTCACACTCGCCCCCGGCGCCTCATTCAGAGCCACAGCTGGAGCTGATCCACGTGGATGATTATTTTCCTCTTGCCCTGGTGTACTGTTTTGGTCCTGGCTGGCAGTAATCTAATCATAACAATTACTCTCACCCATCCCAGGAATGGAAATCTTTACTGTGAATGACTTCTGTCCAATTCATTTTAAATGTTACATTACCTGAGCTAGAGTTCATTAGTGCTAAGATTAGCTGCTCTGCTTAATTAATGAGTTGTAAGCCTGAACTGTATCCCTGGCTGCCCGAGAAGTGCCCGTGCTCAGGGCTCTTGATACAGTTTGAAGCACATTTCTGCCCTTGGGTGCCCCCACTGTCACCCCTTTCTTCCTTCAGCTCTGCTCCACGCTGCTTGGAGATGCAGGAATGGCCTCAGCACCTGATTCCACCATGAAATTTCTTGTCCATGTCCAACCAGCACTGTCTGTTACAGCACAATAAATACCAGCACTCACCTACTGACGGGTGGTCTTGCCTGGATCTCTTGGCTTTTGTGTGCGAGGAGGTGAGAGAAGAGGCAGGTCAGAGACTTCCCCAGCTTCTGCCTCCTGTTGGAAGGACACTAGCTCCAGGTTCATCTCTTTCCAAGGCTGCATTCCCATAGGGATGAGAGTGGAGCCTCTGTACCCCTTTACCCCACTGGAAAATGCATTTTCAGCCCCTGACAGCTGCATGAACAGCAGTGGCTTTGGGGAGTCTGGATGGGTCTTGTCTCACAGGATGGGTTGGCTTGGAAGGGACTCTCAAGGGACCTGGTTCCAATTCTTACACCTTCCACTAGACCAGGTTGCTCCAAGCCTCATCCAATCTGGCAAATATCCAGGGAGCCACAGATTCCCTGGACAACTGGTCTCCAGACCATGGAACAGAGAAAGGCACTAAAGGCTGGGGAGCAGGTGACAGTCACTGTTGAGGGATTCGTGGCTAATAGTGGGAAAACAGCAGGAGCTGGAGAGATGTCAGCTGTGGGGGGTGAGATGACCACACTGGGAACCCTTGGCTGTAGGGAGAAAGGTGGATTCATGGCACAGATGGATGCAGGGGCTTGTGGAGGTGCCCTGTTAGCCCCGAGTACTGAGGGAGATGTGCTTGAGGTGTCACAGCCATTGAGCAGGGGACAATAATGTAGCTTTGCCCAAAAATGCTGTCCAAATAGCCAGGAAAAGGGCTGCACTATTGATCTCTGCTTCCCACTGTGGAATTGCTTCAGTCTGACATACAAAACTTCCATGTTGCTGAGGTGGGAATCGCTGTTCTGTGGAGAATCATCCTTCCTGCAAGGAACAGTGACTTGCCAGAGGAGAACTGATCAGAAAAGTAAGGGCAGACCCCACATCTGCTGAGATTAAATCCCAAAGCCTTGGAAGAAGTGGGAGGGAGGAGAGGTTGAGGAGGGGCAGGAGCAGGATTTGTTCCTGTGAAGGAGGAAAGACCTGTCAGATGGTGAGCAAATGTCCTGTGGAAGTATCAGAGGGATTGCAAGGCAGAGAGGACATTCAGAAGACCCTTGTGAGGTGAGATCTCCCTTGAGAGGGTCAGGGTCTGCTCTGGACATTAAGTTATCAGATGTGATGGTCTGAACAACCACTGCTCATCAGAGCCCAGGCACTCTCCTGTGAGCCTGTGGCACCCACTGGGGCACCTGGACAAGAACAGGTGGGACAACCTGGTTTCAAAATGCTGTTCTAATGCTCAGTCTTCCAGTCCAGCAGCTGTGTATGGAACCTCAGTCATTCCTCCTGCTGGGTGCATGGGGAACAGGTTGTGGAGACAACATTTTGGAGGGGTTCTTCCTACCCTAATTCCTCCAGGAGAAGCTTCCCCAGACAGAGCTCCACAGTGCATCTCTCCCTTTTTGTTCTTGAAACTTCATCCAGGAGGATTTTGCCTTGCTAAAAGCAGCCCCACATCTTTAACAGGCACTGACTGGCAATACACCATTAAATCCAAAATTAAGGCCTCTTTCTCACACAGTAAGTGGTCACTCCAAGTTAAGATGAAGTTTTCCCTCCAGGATCTCTCCCCTTTTCCTTCTCATTCCTAAGTGCTGGGGCTTGGAGGTGCTTGGGAGGTGTTAACAGTCCAGGGGATCATTCCTGGCTGTCTTGCACTATTGGGAAATATTGTCCCTTGGGCTCTCTGATAATTTATTTCTGGTGAGGCACGGTGGGGATTGCAAAGTGGATATCTGATAAAATATCTGATAAAACACAGAGCTGCTGGGTCAGTCAGGAGGAGGAGGAGGGATGGCTGAGGAAGGCTGCTGGTTTAAGTAGCCCAGCTCTGGCAGCTCAGGAGGATCCTTAAGGATGGGTTGTCAGTTTGATGGATTGGGAAGGCGGGTGGGGAGGTGCTGTGGCCTTTTGTTGTGCTAATAAATCCCCTGTTTGGGAAACACTGCCTTTCTGCAGGGGCAGTCAGCTTCCCTGCCTCTCTTCTCCCTGTCCAGCATAATGAACTTGAGGAATTAAAGGCAACACTGCCAGTCAGGATGATGAAAGTGGGGTTGTACTGCATCCGTGGGGGCCCTGGTGTCCTCAGAACCAGAGTTCCCTCAGAGAGAACATGACAGGGGTGGCTTGGATGCTGGAAGTCAACAAGGAAGGGAGGCCCAGTTGCATGCACAGTTCAGTGTGAGCTCTCTGGTCTCCCCTGGAGACAGGTTTAAGAGTTAGATTGGTTTCCCAGAGGTTTTTCTTGTGCTCTCTCTGCACTGCCAGGCCTGACTCTGGCTCTGAAATCCTTCACCCAAGGATGGGACCTGACCACTGCTGCTAGCTTCCTGAGCTGCCCAGCAGTGCAGAGATGCCAACTGATGGCCATTTGGAGGGGAGGTTTCTGTGGAATAGCTGGTTTTGGTCAGCCCTGGAGGCTCCCCATGTCTTCAGCTTAACCTGGAAGCAAGGTGGACAGTCAGAACCAGCCTTGGCTCGAGGGAAGCTTGTGGGAGCCTTTGGAGCTCAGACAGGTTTCCTGCAGTGCCCTTGGCATCGGTGCAGTGTCTGCAGGTCCTTAAAGCACAAGCACCACTCAGCCCCTTCCCTTCTCATTCAAGGCCAATAGACTTCGGATTGAACTCTTAAAAATATTCTCTGCACAGCTCCTGGAGTTTGGTTCATTCTCTTGAAAAGATCAGATGGCAGCAGGGAGGGGGCAGGGGTTCAGGTGGGACCTGGAGCTCCAGTGGCCTAACGCTGCTGATTTAATCTTTCCCTCTGCCTTGCCAAGCCAGGAGATTCTTTTGGAAGAGGCAGGGCAAGGAAAGCAGCCAAGAAGGCCCCTCCTCATCCTCTGTGCTGGGTGAACTGCAAGTCCCTGAGTGCTGAGCGTGGTGACATTGGCATGGCAATGTCACTGCAGCAATAACAACCCCTGGACTCCACACAGGACGAGCCACTCACCTCCCTTTTGCATTTTCCTGCTAGCACAAGGCAGAATTTCATTGTAGGCACTGCACAACAGCTTTGGCATCTCCAGCCCCACTTCTGACAGAAGCCTGGCAGCTCTTGCCCCGATGGAATGCACCTGCACCACACAGCTGCTGATTCCTAAAGGTGAATCTGAGGCCAGATGTTCACCCTGCTGAGGCTTCTTTGGACTGCACTGCTTCCACAGAGTGCTGTGAGCAGTCCTCGTGCTTCCTTGTGGTTTTCTATTTTGGACAGGAACAGCTCCTCATCCTGTAACTATGGAATGTAGCACTTTGTTAAATGAAAACATTGGGAAATAAAAAGCTGTCCATCATAGGTGACTTTAAGTGCCTCGTCTCCCTACTCTGTGGTTTATTCAGTGTCTCAGGTGAAGCTGTGAAGTGATGCTTGAAAGATTTGAGTGTTGTGTTTCCCTCTCCAGGCTGCATGGTCAGTGCAAGGACTCGGGCTGGGCTTGCAGGGCTCATAGGAGCCATGGGGAACCTCAGCCTGGCACTTTTTGGGTAGGATTTACCTGGAATTAGGTGTTTGCTGTAGACTGGGATGAGTAACACCCCCACCTTGGTTTGCAGTGGCAGGAAAGAGCCACAACAGTGACATCTCTGCACACCAGGACATTTTTTCTTTCTGTTTTGTCCTGTTTCTGATTTGTCTGTGCCCAGATCTTCCAACACCCCAGTAACAGGATGTGTGGCTGCCCTTCTCCCATCTCCCTCCAGAGAGCCAGCAAGAACTATTTGTCACTGTGTGTATTTTCTCTAATGGAAAATGGCTTGTTCAAAACAAGAAATTCCCAGGGAAATAGCTGCTTGGGGATTGCATGAACACATTCTTTGTTAATTGGTAGTTGCCAAAAACAATCTGTATATTCATGAATTCTGTTTGCTGCACTGCTGGCTTTTTCCAGTGAAAAAAAACACCTAGACCTGCTGAAAGGAGATAAACAATGACAATGTTTTTTTTTTCCCTAGGTCTATTTCCTTAGGAAATTACTCTCTGTGATCTTGCAGCCTCCGTCCATCAGCTGGTCTCCTTCTAACGTCCCTGACTCTGCCAACCAAGCCAGGGGTTTGTGAAAATGGGGGAGAGAAGAGACCATAATAAAAAAAATAACCAAGAGAAGTGTGTGTGGAGCTGTTCTGAGGCTGCAGAAGTCCTGCATTTTCAGCATTTATATATGGCTTGATGGAGAGGATGGGCTGGATGTCCTGGAAATCACTGGGGTTCCTGCCCTGTGTGGGTTCCTTGGGGCTGAGCACAGCACAAGGATGAGTCTGGCACAGAGCTCAGCCTGTTTCAGTCACGAGCAGGACACTGACTGTGCAGAGCAGCACAGACAGCCC